TCTGCGAATGGATCAAACGGCTGCACGCTATTTCTTAGTCCACCAATAGTATGAACAACAGGGACTGCCCCGTCTCTCAGTGCATAACGCTGGACTATTTGATGCAGACCCCCGCCACCTTCTTTAGTTTCCAGCTCCCAGGCGTAATCGTGGCTTACAGTGACTACCCGCTCTGCTGCACTCAGGCCAGCCGCAAGGCCATTGAAGTGTTCCCTACCTCCTGGGTCATATAGTTTGAAGTAGTTTTGTGGAAGATCCACATAACAGAAATCACGTACTGGACCACGACCCCGGTGTGCTATGTTGTGGATCATAAAGAATGCACCGGGTATGCTTACAGTTGAGAACCTCAAGGGCGGCCTTACCGAAGAGGACCATGTGTTTTAAAATATCCTCTCGGCCTTCCCCATATATATTTTCCTCAATATTACGAAACATAGGGCTGTCCATGAACACAAAATCTATGCCATCAGCATAAGCTTGGAAGAAAATTACCTCTATATCCTACCCCTCCACCTTACATCTCTTGCACACTCCTGTTTCTTGGATTTCTGTATAGTTACCATACTGTGGTGCTGCAACCATAGCTTTATGTCCACGCCGAGCCAAGGCCTTCGGTAAGGCCCCAACAACATCGCCAAGCCCACCCGTCTCCGTCAAAGGAGTGCATTCTGTGGGTTCTACTATAATGTTCATGACATCGTCCCCGGCCAAAGGAGGAGACTTTACAGTTTCATCCTCCGTGCGCTGATCCTTGGAAATAATTGCGGCTGTAGGGGCAGCGATCTGTTGTTCGCTGCATGCCTCTGCCCAGTCCGGATGGCGTCTGTTGGTGTTGGCGATTCCCTCCGAACTCATTTCTTTGTTGGAGAGGAATGCTTCTAGCAGGCGTCGCATCTCCCGGACGTCCTCCCTGACCTCACGAACCTCCATGCTGGTTTCTGCAAGTTGGTGTTCCAGTTCGTGGACTTTGGAAGACAGCTGCTCCATATCGCCCGTGACGTTTGGCTCTGATACCAATTTGTTATGGTCCCGCGCATAGGATCCTGTCACGGGTCGGTCCACGGTGCGAATGCCTTGTCTTCCCTTGCGTGCAGACCCTTTTGCGGGACTGAATGGGTGATTTGTCCAAGAGACCACCCGAATTCTCTTCACTCTTTTCTTGGCTGAAAAATTGAATCCTTTATTTCAATTCGTAGCTCCTTAAATAGGAGATTACAGAAGGAAATTCCTAATTAAACTCAAACTCCAACTTGAACTCAAACTCCTAATTACCTACTCCTAATGGTAACTCACTCTTACTTAAGATAAGATAAAGATGAGATTAGATAAAGATAAGGGATAAGATAAGGATAAGGGATAAGATAAGGATAAGGTAAGCTGGCGGCGAGTTGGCTTGATGTGTCCAGATAAGGATGGGCCCACCCCTATGAGTTGTCGTGTGGGCCCCGCTCTGTTGCTGCCGGGTGCGTGCACGCGGCTCATGGTGCCGCTGCTGCGCGGTGCGTGCGTGCGCGCGGCTCATGGTGCCACTGCCTTGTGGTGCCGGGCGTGTGCGCGGTGTGTGCTGCCGTGCAGTGCGTGCGGTGCGTGCTGCGCGCCATGGTGCCGTTGCCGTGCGGTGCCGGGTGGGTGCGCGGTGTGTGCCGCCGTGCGGTGCGTGCGGTGTGCGCTGCTGCCTGGCGGTGCCTGCTGCTGTGCGGCCTACCGTGCGTGTTGCTGCCTATGACTGCTCCGCAGTGCGCTGCCGGATGGTGTGCCCATAACATATTTATCGAATTGAGTCAGGTCATATCCGAATTCGACTGATTAGATATTTGAATTAAATCGAAATTGGATTTTTGAATACCGTTGACACCCCTCACCAACCCGAGCAACAGTGAGAGAAAAAGAAGGCCTAAGCTCATGTTTGGATTATTTGGCAAACTTGTTTTAATACTATGCTTATGTTAGATGTACTTGGGTAATGGCAGAGACATAGAACCTCATTAATAAAGATTTATTTTTGTAAGATGTCCTTGTTAATAGAATGTGCTTCTAAGTTGTAACAAAATGCAATTTGTCTGGTGCCATTATAATTGATATTTGTGCCATGTGCAACCACCTAATGTCTAATGACATCATTATCCTGAGCTTCTGGGTGGGGGTTATCTGATACTTTTAGCTTTCTTCAATTACACTGTTGTGTTACTGTAGGTTCTCACATTTTTACAATTTGGAGGATATACTCTTGTGAGGAACTCAAAGGATCTATTTGAGAGTTTTGGTTTTGATACTCAACCAGTACTCATTGGACTGATCATATTTCAGGTAAGAAATTGTCTTGGACCCTTTTTCAACTTAAAAGGAACCTATATAGGTGTGTATCTTGAGTATGCACTCATATATTGATCTGATCTAGACATGAAAGTTATTTGCTACTTCTTGATTTACTAAGACATGTTGGTCATTGCTATTCTTGATTGTCTTCATGTAAATTCAGTAGGCATTTCCAGACAAGTAATTTGTACTCAAGGTGGATTTTTGTATTGAATATTCAGAGAAGTGTTATTAAAGCATTGACTAGTCAACAACTAGTCACTTGGGTTGAACTAAGCATCAACTAGGTCAACTGGCTTGACCATAGTTTTCAAGGTGCCAAGGCTAAGCTAGGTAACAGGGGGGCACCTTGCTGCCTATGGCACCCACCCAGATGATGAGTTTTTCTTTTTCATAATAAAAATATAAATACCATTCCCTAGGTTTCATTGCAACCAGCAGTTATCTTTAACTAATAATTACCAGTAATCCTCATGAAATAAGTCTAAACCTCATACCAAAACATTGAATATCAACATATTTATGAGAAAAATAATATGAAAGAAAAGAAAACATACAAAACATAGGGCTAAGCCCTTGTTTTTGGAAATAAAAAAGAAGTTAAGACCTTTTTATCCCAGAAGAAAGGACTTTAGTTGCTCTTGTGGTTACACAGGTCATTAGTGGCTGTTAAAGACACTTGAAGTTTGAACTACTCTCAACTCTCAAGGTGGATGCCATCTTGAATTGCAACTATGAATCAAATCCAAGTGTAAGAGCATAGACTTGCAATATTCATCAAAAAAAGAGCATAGACTTGCAAATCGCCATAGACCTGGATAAGTCTACCCAGTTCAGACTGGTTTAATAAATAACCTGGGAAAGCATGTATTAGAAGATTCTAGAAACATCTTATTAAGGAAAATATAAATAGGGGCCCCATGCCCAGATGGGGACCCAAGACCCAAATACTGGGGGGGGGGACCCAGATCCTCTTTTTCCTTTCCTCCCCTCTCCTCTTTCACACCACTGACGTTCTCTCTTCTCTGAGATCATCAACCATCTGCAGAGAATTACGGGGGGGCTGATCCCTTGCCAGAGGGTATGTAGTGCAGCTCCACCGAGTGTCCGGTCATTTCCGTCTTCCCAAACACCATTTTTCTCAGACTTTTGGAGTTGACAATCCGTACCAAATCAACGTTCCAACAATTGGAGGTGAAAGATCATAGTGGGATTGGGATAATCATAATTTTCTGTTTTTTATTAATTTCAGACCATCTTTTTATTTTGTTTTGTAAACTCGTTGAATTCCTAACATTCTGTACTACAGGGTTGTATTTATGTGTGGCATGTTTATGTTGTGAAAGTAATTTATTTTTGACCTTTTGAGTAGGTTGGAGATTTTATTACTCAGGCAATTTCAGGGGAAAAACATCATTCTTTAGGTGGTATTATGTAAAATATTACATCCATGCAACAGATTCCAGCAAATCGACTAGTTATCCTTTTATTTGCAATTTCAATGAGAGATTAAAAGAATAGCTCTTCGACATTGATCTTTGATTGAGCTGATATTGGGAAATTGCTTCTTGCTAACTGATTTTTTTATTTCGATGATTACTGGTTTACTGAAGGAAGACATGGATATTTTATTGCACTTTTTCCTATTTTTCTGACGTGATTATTCTTGTCTACAGCATACTGTAATACCTTTTCAGCATCTTGTGAGCTTTGGTCTTAATCTTGTGAGCCGATCATTTGAGTTTCAGGTAAGGATTTTTTTTGTTACATTATTGACCGAAGTCTTAATCTTGTGAGCTTTGCTCTTATTCTCACCCTTGGGGATATTTTTCTTTTTTTTTTTTTAAACTCAGGCTGATGCCTTTGCCAAGAAGCTTGGTTTGGCCAAACCCCTTCGTGCAGGTCTTGTGAAACTGCAGGTGAATTTGTTAACTCTATAATCTCTTTGAAAATATGCAAATGCATTGGAAATTTGGAATGCGTTTTCATAGAAGTATTTCGTTTAGGCTGTATTGTCTACTATTATGTGCATTATGCTTTTCGAACAGAACTCTTCCTTGCCTTCTAATAGACTTTCTTTATACTGTTGAACACTATGCTCAGCCATCTTTGGTCCTTTTGTCTTTTGCTTTGCTTGAAGTTATGTAGAAATTTGTTTCTTCATTTTCTTTTTATTTGGGGGGAGGGTTAAGGGTGTCAATGGACTGGTTTTGGATTGGACCCCGTCCAAACCAGTATCAATTTGGACGGATTGGAAGGACCAACAAGACATTGATTTGGACCAGTCCAGACTTAATGGTCCAAAGTATCTATTGGGTTGGACCTGGTCCATTATATTGGATTGGGTTGGATTGAGCCAATATCTGGTCCATTGATAAAAGATAAGAACATAGGTGTCCATGGGCCAGGTTTGGGTTAGAATTAATCTAAATTAAAACAAATTTGAACAGATTGGATGGTCCAGACATTGAATTGGATCAGTCCAAAATGGTCCAAAATATTCATTGGATTGGATTGGTCCTGATCCATTTGTAATGGACTCACATTGGACTGGATTGAATTGGATCAAATCCAGTCCACTTGACACCCCTGGGGGGGGGGGGTGTGGATGAGTTTAAAATAACGAAGATACAGGATTTCTGGGCTATTATCCATCTGGCATAGTTCAAATATATTTCTGGGTGATTTTGGGGGGGTTTTCAGCAATATGATTGTTTTCTATGATGGGATTTCTTTTGAATGTGCTCTGCACTAAGGTGGTGTTTGGAAGTGCTATTTGTTTTTAAATGGGCTTTTTAAGTACTTTTTGAATTAGATGAGCATATTTGAGCATTTGCTGTGACCATCTTTTTGGTGCCTGTTATTTCATTACTCATCAGAGGTCTGCATGGTTTTCAGGAGGAAAATTTGTCAGCAATGAACACAGATCCATGGTACTCGGCTTACCACTATTCTCATCCTCCACTTGTTGAGAGACTTGCAGCGCTTGATGAATCTAATAAGAAAGAAGAATGACAAAAGGGTGGGACCTACAGAATGTCTCGATGGCAAATGAACAAAAAAGCATTCTGCCACAACGGAAAGCTCATTTCTTATCGTGGCCGTGGCGGACCCCACTGCAAGCATGAGATGAGCAGCAATCAATTTTCTCGTTTCTCCTTCGAAAATAGAATCCATTTGAATTTTTCAATTTAGTTGGAACTTGCAGTTGTGCTGTATCACTATCGAGTTATAGGAGTCGGCAACACTTCTTTGGTTAACGCTCAATACAGAATGGAAAAAAGGAACAGAGGTTAGTGAAGCTTTGGTTAACGCTCATGGTCATATGGCCGAGGCTCTTTTAGGTGGTATATGCTTGATCTTATGTTACAGTTTCAAAATAACCCGACTGGATGATCTTCGGCTGACCTTGAGCTTGTCGCTTGATAACACTTTTTCAGGCATCTAACGCAAGGTTCAAAAAATTGTTACGTATCGGTCGATATGCATTGTATCGGGAGCACCCCCGACCTGCCCCTACAGAGAGTGTATGGGGTTTTGACCGGTTTAGGGGGTGGAGGAACTTTAAACCGGCCCTCTGAACTGGATTTGAAAAAAAATAAAAAAATAATACCTATACTGCCTGGGTGCTCCTTGATGGTGTATCGGGCATATTGATATTTAGAACAGTGATCGAACGTCCAAAAAATTTCATTTTCAAACGTACAACTCATTTGTGTTTCGATTTTAATACAAACTCTGATAAGGTAAAATAGGTCTGAAATGGTAAGACATGAACGTGGTCAGATGCATTTGATAGCCCATAGGCCATAGCCAAAGTCTTAAATGCCTTCAAATCTTTTTGAAAAGACCTGTGAACGAGTCGAGAAAACCATCTTCCATCATTATAGTCTGTAATACTTCTTTTCCAATGAGCATTGGATACATCCTTGGTGATGGTGTTGGAATGGTATACATATAAGGTGTGGTTTTCATGTGGATCACGTGTACCAAAGAGTGGTTTTCATTCGTGATAAGTGATCCAGCTCAGTGTGCATGATTTTGTTTCCAGGTCATCCGCAGTGTTTCTAATCAATTTGTTGTCCTTTCTTTTCTTGTGCACGAAAATGGCCTTGTATTTTCTAGGAAAAAACCCACTTTGTCTGACCCCATTGATGAATGATAAGAGATACAGAGATGCGAATTCTGGCCATTGGAAGATCTCTAAAGAATCTGGCGTGTTTGGGAAGCTCCGAGGTATTAGGTTTGACAAACATAAATCTCGCGAGACCTCCGAAGATGTGTTTGAAGTCCTCTAACAGTTCGTTTGGTTTGTGCGACCTAGATGAGAAAATAGGAATATTCATCGAATATTTTTATTTTCTCATGTTTGTTTTAGGAGACATGTTGTGATGTGGCGAGAATACCATTCTCAAAATATGGGATGTGGGGTCTCACCAAATAGGTGCCACCCCGCTGTTTTCATCTCCCCACCTTTGCAACGGTCTGAACTCCAACCACCTGTATCTTTCATCTTTGGCAAAGTTTACGGCCTACGTAAGCACTTCCATGTGTTTCAGGCGCTTAATGGACAAGGAGCATGGGCTTGTCAATGGAGTTCTCATCCTCATCTTCTGTGAGGGTCAGATATGGTGTATTCAAAATTTTCTTCTTCCCATGTCTTTTCCATTTGCTAACCCTTGCTATTGGTTTGGCGCAGATCTAAAACCCTTCTTTGCTATAAACCCTTGTTTATTGCATATATCAGCCATTAAAAGTTGTGGTTTCTCTTTATCTTCCTCAATCTCCACCATAACATCCTTCTTAATTTCCTCAACTCTTGTATCCCAAATTCCGTCTATAAGTTTCCAAGTCTCATCACTAATGATTTGCGTCTACAGATAAGAACAGAAAAAAAAAAGAAGCATAAGATCGAAAACACAACCATTATCTTCATATTAACAGTTTTGCAGTCTTTGAACCTTTCTCCTCAGTCTTTGAACCTTTCATGGTTCGGTATGAACAAAAATTTGGAAGAGAATATTATTAACCAGTTCTATTCTTTTGAAGTCCGACTATGATATTGAAAAGATATCATATGTTAAAAAAACTGATAACCAATAGATGATAGAATAAAGGTGTTTAACCAATTTTAATTGCGCCATGTGAGCATGACACATGGCAATGTTCAAATACTATTATGCTATATCATCCCCAAAACAAGTCTTGTGTGGTTAAAATGGAGATTACATGGATCATTCATTAATATGGAATGAATCCGACCATCCTACAAAATTTTCTCAGCAATCAAATACAGGGAAACAGATTTGGTAGGATAAACCAAACACAGGTGACAAGATTGAGAACATAAATTCACTTCTCATCTCATCCTTTCCCATCCCATTCCATCTCATCTTATACTTTCTTGGCATCCAAACAGAGCCTAAAGAAGAGATACACGACTACACGAGTTTGATCCAGTGTCTCCGTAATCGGAGTGATGCTAAGTGATCACTTATTGGCATTGCACTATCAAATAATTCTATGGAAATCTCATAAAAAAGATTTATTTTCTTTTTACACCACACCGTAATTAATCTACAACTTACAAAGAAAACCCATTATCACTATTATCGATGAGAGTTTCAATGACAATTTGAGGATATACAAAGTCCGGATCTCCTACCAACAAAACACGATCCAACTCCCTACCAACATGATCTAATACTGCACATCTCATTCATGGTGGGTCCCACTTTTATGATGGGTTCCAATCTCATGGTGAGATGTGTGGTGTTAGATGAAGTTGGTAGGGTGTTCGAACATGTTTTGTTGGTAGGAGATCCCAAGATATACAAGAACGGTACCAACCGGCTCAGTTTGTAAGGTATCCTATCGGTTAAGACAAAATTACTTTTCTTTTTCATAAAAAATAAGGTAAAATATAACTGAAATGTCTCAAAATTAAAATTTTCCATCCTTCTATGTTGAAAACAAGGTCGCCTGCTGGTTGATAAGGTGCCGATTGGCTAATTGGTAAGGTCTCCCATTGATTGTAGTGATTTGGGATTAAATCCCGCCTGCACATGGTTAGGGGTTATGGATTTGTTGGGATGGACTCCCCCTAGTGTTGTGTAGCCCCATAGAGACAAAATAAATAAGTTTGTCCCAAAAGCCACAACTATAACCCTACATTTGTTAATTTAGTTTTGTATATCATATTTTCCATTGTGATGTTGTTCGAATTGAGATGAATGCACAACAGATAAGTTTTGCCCACTTGGACAAGGTAAGGTGGAAGGGCGATGTGGTGCACCGAGCAAAACCTGCAACTAAAGCATGACTAGAGGTATCGAAAAAGAGGCCTCTGGGAAGGCACTTCGACGCTTAAATCAGTAAGAGGTGAAAAGGTCTTCCACTCCCTAGCCTTCTTGCTTTCTTGCTCCTTCAACCCTACTTAGCTTGGACCAGCTCGCCCTTAATAGTTCAGCTCGGCCAATCTTTTCACCTCCTATTGATTAAGCATCGGTGTGCCTTCTCCAGAGACCTCCTTAGAACCTTTGACCACACTTTAGTTACATGTTTTCTCGCCCTTCCACCTCAGTTCATCCATATTGGTAGGACTTATTTGTTATGCATCCACCTCGATTCGGACATCACTTTGAACCTCTGAAATACAAGAGGAAACTTTTTCCATCAATTGGAGAATTTAGAATCTAGCAATTGAATTGTAATGGAAAGAGGCAACGAGGAATCTCAACTCCACCACATATCTATTTCTTTCTCCCATTTTTTATTTTATTTTGCAAATATGGGCAGGCAACCAGTGCAGGTGCCAACTATCGCATTTTAGGGCTGCTGGTTCATGGTTCAATGTCATTTTCTACATCGTGTTCATTTGTCTGTACGTGTAAGTCTGAACGTCCCTGAGCCATAAAATTATGTAAGAATTCTTGCGAGAATTAGGTACCCTTTGGAGTTTGGAGTCCAATATCATCACATCAACATCTGATGTGTCAAAACAAAGAATATATAGGGAAATTATTGTCATTTTCTTCTAGTACTAGTAGTAACAGTTACTACTTATTAGTGTCTGAATGGTTAGGTTAGGTCTGATCAGGATCTACCACCAAATCAAATCTCCTAGTCCTAGTCCTAGTATAAAAAGAAAATTAAATTTCAAGGTGGTGTTTGGCTTGGATACTGTTTTCTGGTGGCCGTGTTGCTTATGAGGAATCAGCAACGCAAGTAACCAGATCGCGTTTTATGTCTGTTTCCTGACAACGCTTTTTCTGTGCTTTGGATTTCTTGATGCGGCTACACATTAAAATTTGGTAAATTTATGGGGTAATAGCATATAAGGGCAACTTTTGGGATTTAATATCAATAAAAGTAATATATTTAAAAAAGTAAGTTAATTTTTTAAAAATAATATCAAAAGGACAAAAATACTGTTCATCTTCTTCTTCTTGCCATTTGTTCACCCGAGCCACCGTCCACCGCCGCCTGCCACCACCCGCCACTGCTGTTTGCCTCCGCCTTTGACAACATTGTCGGAGGTGCCGGAGGTAGAGGTGGCGGCGGCGGCACTGGTGGTCATTCCTTTGCCTACTGCCACTGCCACCTGTCTCCACCCATCTCCAGCAACGTTGCCAGAGGTGGAGCTGGCGGCATTGGACAGAGAAACCACTAGCGCCGTCGCCACCATCTTTGCCTCCGGCCACCTTCGGCAACATTGTCGGAGGTGGAGTGGTGGGTGGCAGCGGACGACAACTCTGGTGAACAAATGGCAAGAAGAAGAAGATGAACAATGTTTTTGTCCTTTATTGATATTATTTTTAAAAAGTTAAACTATTTTTAAAATTTTTTTATATATATTACTTTTATTGATATTAAACCCCAAAAATTGCCCTTATATACTAAAAACCCTAAATTTATTTCAGGTCTTATATATTTTATATTATTATTAGGTGACAATTAGGTGCCACGTAGACAAAAAGGTGAAACATGTTATTTTCCATTACAATAAATGTGAGATGATGTTTTTCTCAAAAAGTTTCTCTCACAATGTTGACATTCAATGTTGCATGGAATGGTTTGAAAATATTCAAGTAAATAAGAAAAAGTGAAAGATTAAACTGGTTTTTTGATCCAATGTTGTTTCCTGAAAGGCATTTTTTGAGAATATATATTAGAACATATATTATATATTATATCTTATATACATATTATATAACAAAACTTGGTTAGTTCAGTTTATTCAGTTAATTAAATTTGTAATTCTAAAAATCAAAACTGTAACTTAAATATCTAAAAACCGAAGAATTAATCAAAACCAAAAAATAATCAAATAAATAAAACCAAGCCCAAAAATTTTCGATTTGATAATACTCACCCCTAGTCACCAGTTAAAATACTTACCTAATGCCCACAACGCCTTGTAGAAACGAATCTGATACCAACTTCCCACCATGTTGCAACCATGCAGTGGGACCATTTCTCCATGAATTCAGTATAAACTGACTATGCTCAACGATCTTGAACAGATTGCGATCATCACTCAGCAGTGGGCCCAGGAACCCCACTACCTACAATTACAATAGGTGGGACCAGCTCCTTAGCCACGTGTAAGTGATCGTTTGTTGGGTAAAGGTATAAATGGAGCCCATAGGGCGTAGAGACAAATTAGGAGCTTCCTTGAGAGTTGGTGAGTTGGGAGTTGAGTGGGTCATTTCAATTTTTTTTTTTTTTTTTTGCATGGGCTGCGGATGCACACGTCATTTAACGGAACCCAAGGGGAATTTTGGATAAAATCGCTTCTCCCGTAAATGACTAGCAGCAACAAGTAAAGGCTAAAGAAGAGAGAGAGAGAGAGGGAGAGATCATCTTAGTGACTGTTCTCCGCTGTTCGTTCCGACTCCTCTGCAACTCCAACGGTCCAACCCTGCTTGCCCGAACGACAAAAGCTTCTCTATCTCGGCCGGAAACCTCCATTCTTTCTGGCAATAAAATGTCTTTTACACCTGTACACTCATATTTTCGTCGATTTCAGGGGCCGTGATACCAATTCTTGTTTCTGCCACATTTCCCCTCTTTCCCTTTCTGTTCGCCAAACATGTCGGTCTACAACACAGCGTTTTTGAACAGAGAACTCTCCAAGCCGACCTCAATATTCGGTCTTCACTTATCGGTTGTCATCGGAATCTGCGTTGGAGTGTTCATCGTTCTCGTTCTCTTCCTACTTTCTCTCTGCATCACGTCTCGTTGCCGGAGATCTCCCAAGTCGAAGCTCTCCGCATCCAACCACACCCCCGTCGTCTCCAAGGAGATCCAAGAGATCGTCCATGTCGCTACTCCGGATCAGCGGCCGGTGCCGCCTGCCGTTCCCGAGATCCAGATTGACATTGGCAAGCCGGAGCATCGGGTAGTGTTCTCTGACAGGCCCTCATCGCACGCAAGCGGAGAGTCTCGTTCAACTACTGCAACGGATACGGTATCGATGTCTGGGGGCCCGCCGGAGGTTTCTCATCTAGGGTGGGGTCACTGGTATACTCTGAGGGAGCTTGAAGCGGCGACAAATGGGTTAGCAGATGAGAATGTGATTGGAGAAGGTGGGTATGGAATCGTTTATCGAGGGGTATTGCCTGATAATACGCTAGTCGCGGTGAAAAACCTGCTGAACAATAGGTACTCCATTTCCCAAACCATCTATTCTCTGTACCAATGCATGCTAGGTTTCCACTGTTTTCTTATTGGTTGTGCTGCTCTCTTCTTTGCATCTTATCCTGTGACTTCTCATCCTCAAATACTGGTATACAAATGGGTTCTTTTTATTTTCTGTGCCAATTATGTTAGAAATGTTAGTTTCCAGTTAAGTTTCGGATCTTCTGTTTTATGGTTTAATCAAGAGAAGCTGGTGAATTATCACTTATCAGGGGTCAAGCTGAGAAGGAGTTTAAAGTAGAGGTGGAGGCAATTGGGCGTGTTAGACACAAGAATCTGGTTAGGTTGCTTGGATATTGTGTGGAGGGAGCTTACAGGTACTGTTTCTTTTGCCATTTTATTTTCTTTTGGGTGAATTTTCTTTATTAACAAGCTTAATACCAATGTGGTGGGTTTTTGCTCATCTTGCTTGAGTCTCTGAGATCCTCTTGAAGCTGATTGCATGTTTTGATTTGAGGCTTGAGATGCTTAAGATTTCATACTGTTTTACCTGCATTTCTGTATTAGGATGCTTGTTTATGAGTATGTAGACAATGGAAATTTGGATCAGTGGCTTCATGGGGATGTAGGGCAAGTCAGCCCTCTAACATGGGATATTCGGATGAACATTATCCTTGGAACAGCAAAAGGGTATGCCAGTTTCTCTAGGAATTGTGGATTTTTCCTTTTTCCCCCCGAGTAACTTAATTTTCTGCACATTTAATCAAATGAGAATTTTTTTTTTCTCAGTTTGGCTTACCTTCATGAGGGCCTTGAACCAAAGGTTGTTCATAGAGATGTAAAATCTAGTAATATACTACTAGATCGACAGTGGAACCCCAAGGTCTCTGATTTTGGGCTAGCTAAGCTTTTGTGCTCTGAAAGGACTTACGTGACAACTCGTGTGATGGGAACATTTGGGTAAGTCCATTTCCTCTTTTATTTGAGATGGTTATGGGTTCTCTTACAGTCATAATCCTGTGACTCTATTACTTCTGTCACTCTACCATTAGCTAATTCCTGGATTTTGTAGCTATGTAGCACCTGAATATGCCTGTACTGGTATGTTGAATGAGAGGAGTGATGTCTATAGCTTTGGAATACTCATGATGGAGATAATTTCTGGCCGGAGCCCTGTAGATTATAGTCGACCACCTGGAGAGGTAGTTAACTTGGAAGCATTTGGTCTCTCCCACTTGTAACAATTTTTTTTTTTTTTTGTTTATTTTGTGTGCTTGACTCTCATTTATTTCAACTCCTGCATTGCTTAAATTTGATCATTAATTTGCAGGTAAATTTGGTAGATTGGTTAAAAGCCATGGTTGGAGACCGAAAGTCTGAGCAAGTAGTGGATCCTAAGTTGCCAGAAATGCCTCCTTCAAAGGCACTTAAACGGGTTCTTCTGGTTGCTCTTCGATGTGTTGATCCGGATGCCAAGAAAAGGCCTAAAATGGGGCATGTCATTCATATGCTTGAGGCTGATGATTTGCTACTACGTGATGTATGCCCAATATTTTCTATAAAAAGACCAAATTCTCAAGTCCTTGATGTATATATATATATATCGAAATGAATCAATAATGTGATTGCACTTTCCTGCTTCCACTTCCAACCCATTTATTTGTCAGATTACTATTTTGCAGGAACGTCGGATTGGACGAGAGGCTAGCCATTCCCATCGTGATTATCCACCAGTGGATCAGGATGTTACAAGGTTGGGCAATATACAGTTGGCTGAAAAGGCCTCTGATACAAGTGAAGGGGAAAGCAGTAGCAGTCAACACCATCAAACAAGGTGGAGATTGTGAAAATGAGTAAATTAGATGGCTGACAATTTAAATCTGTCATAGTTTCAGAAAATTCATTTTTCTACAGTTGGTCCATTTTTCTTGATAATAGATTCCAGATCATCAGAAAATGATTATTTGCATTTGTTGTATGTTCATTTATCAATTTAGGATCCATGATGTCTTGAATTGGGATGCATTTGTATCATAGAAAAAGTACATTCATCATCCTAATAACCACAATTCTTTAAATTGTTGATGGCAAAAATTACAAATGGCTGTATTGAAAATTGGATCTTTGCTGTTTTTTCGTACATATTCAATTATTACTGAGTCATTCCTTCCTATTTATTTTTGGTAAAATTATCCAGCAGGTTCATTGTTCTAGCCTTGTTTCATGTCATCTACATCAAGTGCAACTCTATCACCATTAGAAATTAGTAAAAAGGGAGGTTGTATTACATTATTGCTGATTCCAAGTAGGATGGTTGTGGGAAGTGGAACTCACTCATCTATAAATCTATAATTAGGTTGAAACATCCGCTGCCTGAGAGGAGATTGAAGGATCAAGGATCCTCCAACTCTTGTTTGTGTTGGGCCATGCCAAGCAACCTGAACTCTTGTCTTGGTTGAGGCAGCCAGAGCTAGCTTGGTAGCAAAATTATAGTTGACTTGTTTTGGGGGTGGGTGGGTGGCGGTTGGGCTTCAGTCTTGGTTGTTGCTATCAAGTATCAATCTTACATTCATTGCCTGCATTATTGATGACCTGGCATGGCGAATGAAGAATTACTAAGATGGCTTTAAATGTTACTGATGAAGTTATCTTTTATCTGTTGTGGGGTACAAGTAGGCTGGAAACATCTGCCATATGAGCGAATTGAACCAGACAACTTGGACTAACCATGAATCCATGAATGGAACAAGTGAATGTCAGTAAAAAGCGTTTTAAGACTTAACCGAGCTGATATTTTGATGACTTGTTGGTTCAACGTTCCTGTAAATGGCTGGATTTTGAGTCTGTCAACTACTTGATCAGCTGGATGGACTCTCTAATTTTAGGTAGCTCCCAACCTTTAGTTCAGTGGAAAATGATAGCAGACTGTGGCACGTTCTCTTTAAACCAGTTTGTGAATTTTTATGAATTACTCAGTTTCGTGAATGAATGGAGACTGGTGGAGAGAGAAGGGAGAAAGAGAGTGTGCATGTAGTACTTTGAGAGGCGAACATCCCTGTCGGTGTTGGTGAATCCTCGATTACCAACCAAGTTTCATGGCCAGTACTCACTCTTCCTAAACTAAAGCAATAGTAAAGAAAGTTATTAGTGTAATCATTTTGCAGTGGCCGGCCGTTGAGTTGAATTTGCAGCTGAACTTAGCTGGGCATTTTATATCTTTTGTTAATTCCTCCTGGCCCCAAAGGTGTGTAATTGCCTACCTAAGAAGCACAACAGTTATTCAGTAATTAATGGCTGGTTCGCTAGAGCAAGCATGCTTTAATAGCATATAAGGGCAACTTTTGGGGTTTAATATCAATAAAAATAATATTTTTAAAAAAATTCAAAAATAGGTTAATTTTGTAAAAATAATATCAATAAAGGGCAAAAACACTGTTCATCATCATCTTCTTGCCATTTATTCATCAGTATTGCCATCTATTGCCACATGCCACGACCGTCCATTGCCGCCCGCTGCTGCCTCTGACAACGTTATCGTAGGTGGCCGGAGGCAGAGGTGGCGGCAACGGCGCTAGTGGTCATTCCTTTGCCCGGCGCCGCCGCCACCTCTATCACCACCCACCTTCGGCAACATTGCCGGAGGTGGAGGCGGAGGTGGGGGCGTTAGGGAGAGAAATGACCACCAGCATTGTTGCCTCTGCCTTTGGCAACGTTGCCGGAGGTTGGTGGAGATAGAGGTGGCGGTGGCGGCACTGGGCCGAGGAATGACTACCAGTGCTGCCATTGCCACCTTTGCCTCTAGCCACCTCCAGTAAAGTTGCCGGAAGCAGAGGCGGAGGCAGGTGGTGGCGGTGGACGGTGGTGTTGGTGAACAAATGGTAAGAAGAAGATGATGAACAATGTTTTTGCCCTTTATTGATATTATTTTTAAAATGTTAATCTATTTTTGAATTTTTTTTTAAAATATTACTTTTATTAATATTAAACCCCAAAAGTTGCCCTTATATGCTATTATCCCTTCATACAAATTGATGGTGGTTAGAAGTTTCTATACCCCTATACGAGAGAGAGAGAGAGAGAGAGAGAGAGAGAGAGAGAGAGATTTGCTCCTTGAAAATCTTCAAGGCTGTTGATTTGGTTTTATGATTGTCAATTTGGAGGTTTGGAGATAATGAACCACATAAGTAGAGGTGTAAAGTGGGCCATGCTAGGCTGGCACGGCACGGCCCGTGGGCGGTCTGCACAAAGTGCGGTCCGTTACGGGCTATGCCACCCTCCTCAGTGAAAAATTTGGGGATCAGCCTGGCATGGCCCACGGCCTAGGCCTGTATAGGCCTGTGCCGTGCTGCGGGCCGGGCTGGCTTGTGGGTCGAGCCTTGGGCCAGGTCTGTGTATCGGGCCAAAGCTATTTATTTAAAAAAAAATTGATAAAAAACTTAAAATTTTAATTTTATATGAATTTTGTGTATACAATTGCTTATATATACAATAATTAAATAAATTAGTATAATAGAATTAAAAAATTATTTATTTTATTAATATATTATATCTTATAATATAATATATATATATAGACCGTGCTAAGCCGGGCTGTGGGCTAGGCCGTGCCGGGCCTGACACGGCTTGCGGACCGTGGTGTTGGACCACAGGCGGCATGGGCCGATTTAAACCTTTACACAGAAGGTGATTGTTTTAGTGATTGGGTCATGGTTTGAACGGTTAGATCTTTCGGTTCAACTTATTCATATAAAATATAAAAAAAAAAAAA